TACTTTAGAGTTAAGCAGCTCAAGTATTACCCCCTTGAAAACTTTATCATCTATTGTAGGCCTAACTGATCTCTCCCCTTCACTTTATTATGTTGAATTTAGAATCAGTATCTCTGAAATAGGCAGCTAATTTCCTGTTTTACACCTTTGATTTCTTGTTTGTCTTCTGAAGTAGATTTTAGGTCTATTGATAGCAGAGATTTTCTATTTCATAGTCTGTTCCTTTACAAGCATCTGTGTACCAGAAATAGTACTTTAGCAATTAGTAAATAGGATAATGATGTCAAAATAATGCGGAAGTCCAGTTGATTCAAGTGTGAATTTTCTTTGCACTTTAAGTTTTGAAGTAATCCAAAGCAAACTTTCCTCACTATTGAAGCCAGATTTACAGATAGGTAGTTAGTGTAGTTAGGTAAATTGGGTCTAACATCGAGTAAAATAAAGAATGGAGGCCATTATAGAGAATGGATTCCAGGAAAGCAGAGCAACACTTGGGGAAATTGAAATGTTAATGTCCCCAAGGCCCCCCAAACCCATCCTAAAGAACAGCAAACAGGGAAGTGCTAATCCAAAAGCCACCCCAGGCCCTTCTTTCCCAGATTACTCCTTCAGCCCCCCTATCTCCCACCTTTTGGGCCTTCCCACCTGCATTCTACCACTGAAAGATAAAGGGAAACAAAGGACTGGAGTGTGGGAAAGCTGAAAGAAGACCTTAGTTATAAAAAAGGGAAGACCTCCCCCTTTCACAGATTCCGCCTTTTGGGTCCCCTTCTTCCTCAAGGGAGAAGTCTTTTCTGCTGTCCTTTAATAAAACTTCTACTTTCCACTCTAAACTTGCCTCGAAGTGCTTCTCTGGTGTTATACTTCAGCATTGGGGAAGCAAGGACCGGTAAACAGCGGTAACACTACTAAGGAGAAGTCTTTACAATATATGAAGACTTAAAAAGTGAAGAATTGTGCATATGACTCTGCCTTAAAGTGTAAGTTGACTGGTTTAGTGGATTAAACTTTGAAGTTTTCAACAACTTTAAACTATCTCTTGAAGCTGTGAGAACTGATAATAAAGCTGTGAAGACCTTTCATTACATGTTTTTTAAAAAATTGCCAGGTACAGTGATGCACTCCTATAATCCCAGATTTTTGGGAGACTGAGGCAGGGGAATCCCAAATTCAAGATTTGATAACATTGAGACCCCATCTCAAATCAAAAATTAAAAATAATAAAAAGAACTAGGGATGTAGCTCAGTGATAAAGCATCCTGAGTTCAATTCACAGTATTAAAAAAAAAAGGAAAGAGAAAAAGTTGGCTACTCTTCAATTAGATTTTTAATTCTGGTGAAAATGGCATCTATTAAAAGTGAATGCCTTTGAGGATCCACACAGGAAAGAAGCAGCAGAAGCATGAAGTCTACCAAGCATCAATGACTGTGTTGCTTGATACTTGGTGTAAATGCCAATGGAGATTTAACCTCATCAGTATTTTTGTTAGTATGGTTATTGTTTTCTTTAGTGCTCTGATCACAAAGTTGCATTAGATTTAAGTGGTTTTCCTGAACCGTATTTTTCTAGAAGCCTGATTATCTTAGGCATGCAATTTTGAAGAATGAAAGATTCTTCAGGAAGACATGTTATAGCAGAATGTTTGGCACTTTTTAAAAATCATCTGCATGATATCCAGTTTGGTGTTAGCCACATAACATGTTTAAAATAAATACTTGTTTACTTGTAGTTATCTTTTAATTCATAAATATTTTTGCTGTGACCCTGGAGTTGGTGATTTCTCATTTTTTTCTGATCCATATTTCCTTTAATTTCTCTATGAATGACCCAGATTGTTTAGATGAGGATAAAGGATGGCCCTAAGGTCAGTTTGAAGAAAGATAGAGCCCTACCAGCCTCTTATCTTTCTTTCTTCCCAGAGCTAGCTTTTAAATGCTGATTGGGTTCTAGGAATCACCAGAAGCCAAAGGGAGAGGCCACAGGATCAGTGGGTCTAAAGTACAGTTTTGATACTCCACCTGATGGGGTAGCCTCTTTTCTTCAGCTTCAGAGAAAAGAGTTCTCTCCATCCACCAGCCTATTTGTGTGTCCCAGGGAGGCAAAACAAAGGATCACAGGTAAGATGAGGGCAGCTCCAGGAATTGGTGAAGCCCTTGGTTCACAATTGGTGACAAATGTCCTTGCCTGAGAGCTATGGCCCCTTTTGTGTATTAGCTTCTAAGAGAGGCCAATGACCCTGATGCCTAAATAAGGGATTTCTGTTTTATTGTTTTTAACTGTTCTTTATATTAACTGGAGCAAAATGCTGAAAAACAAACACCAAGAATTAAGACAGGGGCTGAGATAATCACATTAAAGTCAAATATAAGCTATATCTGGAACAGGTTTTTTAATTTTTATTTTTTCACTTTTTGCCAAAAATATTGTAGATCTTTTCCAGTTACCTCTAAGTGAATATCAAAGGTAGCTTAGCCTGGCCTGAGGATAATGAAATGCAACCTTACATTCGAAATAATATTAGTTAATTTATGAGTCCATTTATGTACTCCTAACAGAAATCATTCATATTTTAATACCCTTCCCTTGCCCCCACTCTCCATTTCTTAAATAGTGATGAAATGAAATTTACAAGTACAGGGGTGCCTTCAAGATCTGGACTTCCTTATCTGTTCTGTTTCTTCTCTTGCCAACAACCTCCCACACAGTCCAATTTCTTAACCATAGGGTCTTTTTGCATGTGCTGTTTTCATTTCCTTTGCCTGGAATGCTCTTCACTTACTTGTATTGAAATTGCTCAATATATTTTTGTTTCAAACCCTCTCAAAGAGCCTGAAGGCTTCACAAGAGCAAATCATGACTGTCTAGTAGGTTGCCAACAAATACTTACTGACTTTATTCAGAACTTTATCACTCAGCTAGAACATTATCTTCTTTGGGATGGTGTCCCTGAATCTTTGACACTTGGTTAGCTACCTCTTTCATAGGCTCCCTGTTCAAATCTGTTACTCTGTAGTGCAATTCTTTAACAGTCTGTCTCTTCCATTATATTGAGGTTCTAAAGGACAGAAATTATGTCATATAAAGTACCCACAGTACTTTGTTTATCATCTGGTATACTCCGAGGAGTTATGTGTACTGAGAAGTTTCTTTCTTCCTTTTTTTCTCTTTTGCCATATTGGGGATTGAACCCAGGGGTGCTCAACCAATGAGAGGCATTCCCAGGCCTTTTTTTTTTTATTGAGAAAAGGTCATGCTAAGTTGCTGAGGCTGCCTCAGCCTCCCAAGTAGCTGGGATTCCAGGTGTGTGCCACCACACCCAGCTGTAACTCAGCAGATTATTGAGTAATGTTTGAACTTGGAGGGCCCTTGACTTCCACCCACAGCCACATCTCTCATAGAGAAATTATATGAAAGCACTGGGTAAATAGTTCATTCCTTTCTGCAGCATCCATTTTCAGTATTTCAGAAGGGGGCACATTTAGATCAATTAAATCCTGTGCATGCATATATGTGTACAGTGAGTCAAATTCAAAATATACATCAAATTTTAAGTCAAACAGGAACTTCAACATAGCAAATTTACCTTGGGGCTCCTTGTTCAACCTGTCTGGGAGTGTGCATTCCTTCTTCACTCCTGTCCTTGGGTAGTTTACTACTTTAGTAAAAAGAAAGTTAATGACCAGGACAAAGATATCCAATGTTCTTTGATTCTACTGTCCAAGTTAGTTGCCTTATCACACCTATATCATGGTTTAATTCACTGTAATGCACTCTGAATAAATATGTTCAGATACAAACTGAAGTCAGCATAGGGAACTCCAGGTTGAAGGGAAGAAGCTTAAAAGAAGCCAGGGCCCTAAAGATTTCTTCAGTAATAAGCATGCGGACATGTTTATGGACTTTACATTTTCAAGTAGCTTCTCTAGCATATGGGCTGTTATTCCACCATGGGGGTTCATTCAAATACTGCCTTGCCCTTCTAATGTTCTTCGTGTGCACCTTTATTTTTAAAAGGTTCCCTTTATAAAGGATGGACAAAGCGCTAGTATACTCTAGGGACTAAAGACTTTACACCCTGGCCTGCAGCATAAAAACACCTACATTTGTCTAGAAATTTATATTTTAAACAAAGCTGTGACACACATATCTTATTCACTGCCCACGACAAACCTAAACCTAAACTAGTGCGGGGAAACTTAAGATAGCACTCACTGGATGCAATTGTAAACTTTAAATCGGTGCTTTGGTTAAAGAGCCTAACAACACCTTCGGGATTAAGCAGTGGGCGCCTGCTGCTCCAACTACCTGGCAACCTGGGAATAAGGGAAAGGCTGTTATTTCTTTGGTCACAACGCAATCATGGCAACAGAAGCACCCACTCTTTCCACTTTGACCCATACAATCTGTCTAGGTAATTAATCAGCACTCCCTGCGGTTTTCCTATAGGCTGCCAGTTGTCTTGCTAATTAAACCTTCCCATGCAGTGTAGCAAGACCACACCCCCGTTGAGGCCTCTCTAAGGAAAGGTGCTTTGGTGTACACTTCTGGAAGCTGACGCTCAGGTCGGGGTGCTGATGAAACTGACACGGGAATTCTCCTAGACCTCAGTTTCCTCATCTTTAAAATGGGCTACCCCTCTCTCTTGATTAGGTCCCTGCCATTTCACGCTGGGCGGGTAGGAAGTGAAATCAGTGATTAACCACAGCTGAAAGTCCTCTGTTGGGCTCCAGTCACCATGCCGGGCATGCTCAGTAGCAGGGGCCGGCTCAGCACCCAGAGTAGGAAGCGGCTTTCCGCGCCCCAGCTGCCGACTGCGGGCACTTTGATGAATCACGTGTGTTGAGGCCCTCTTAAAGAGATAGGCACCTACTTTCCCTCCACCCTAAACACCGCCCTGAGGGCGGCGGCGACTGTGGTAATTGCAGCTGCTTAGGGGCAGGGCTTGCCCCAGCACTGAGTAGTGGCAACAGCGTGGTTGCGTCGGGGGTGTTGGGAGCCGGCAGCCCCGGGGGCCTGAATTAGGCTACTCCCCGGGCTGACACTCTCTCCCTAAGGAAGACGTGCTGTCGAATCAGCGCTGGGCAGCGAGAGCGCCCAGGGGGGCTTCTTCATTTGAGGAGAGGTGGGGTTATAGGGCACAGGTGACAGGGCCGGAGAAAGATGGAGCAGCCCTGGGCGGCGGCGTCGGGAGCGGGAGGCGGCAGCGAGGAACCCTATGGGGGCCGGAGCAACAAGCGGAGCGCGGGGAACCGAGCTGCCAACGAAGAGGAAACGAAAAACAAACCCAAATTGGTGAGTGCTCCCGCAGCCCCCGCCGGCCTTGGGGATAGGGAGAGCCCCGGGGTCCTCCTGCCATTGAACACGGGGAACCCGGGGCCCCCTCCCATTGGTGACCGCGACCTCGCTGTGCTACTCGGGGAGCTGCTAAAGGAGCGGAGCGGCCAAACCGAGGCGCGGAGACGGCGTGGGGGCGGAAGAGCACCCCCTTCTCCACTTAACCCCTTTCTCCCTCTTGTCAGCCTGGGAGACAGTGAGGGAAGGAGAAAGGCCCCACCCCAACTTGGGGAGACCCCTAGTCCTAGAGTATTGGGTAGGGCTGTTGTTTGTCTAACTTGTGGCCAAGAACCTTCTTTGAGCGATTCCATTTCCCTCCCACCTCTTGTCAGTTGCTGTTTTGACTCAACACTTAGGGTCCGGGGCAGGGGAACCTTCCTCCTTTTTGGTCCCAGGACTTGGGAGCCCGCTCGGAGCCTTTCAAATCAAGAAAAACACAACGTAGGCCCCCAATTCTTCAACTTAACCAGAAATCTAAGAGGCGCCTACGTGCGTCACCCCCCCCCCCGCACCCCCGCCTCTTTCTCCATGTGCTCTCCCAAGAAATATTTCTTTGGAGGAGTGGGGGAAGCGTGGGAGTTGAGGCTGGGTGAAGTACCACCAAGTGTCCTTTGTGTATGTTTATGTAGTCATACAGTACTTCAACCCAGTTGATTATGAACACTTAAAAGTGGTAGGCAGACTGTGCACTTCTCACAGTCCTGGTAGTGTTGAACCAGTGGTAGCAGTCCATTTCCTGCCGCTGAATGTGCAAAATGAAATCTTTGGGGCCTGATATTGCATTGGGAAATACAGGATTTCTTCAACTCAGTTAAAAGGGTTCCTCTTTTTGTAAACTTTGTAATTTGGGTGACATGAGGGGAAAGGGTTTTTTCCTGCACAAATTCAGCAAATACTGCCAAATAATCTTAGTCCAGATCCGAAGTACATGCCACATGTTGCATATCTAGATTTTAGTTTTGAGCAGCAACTTGACAGGGGAGTGGGTGGGATGGGGACATATAAATAAAGCCATTTCCCATGGAATCTGGCCATTTGGTATGGACCTGTTGTATTTGTATTTTGGTTCCTATTTGCTTTTCAATTATGGACTATCTATTCATAATGGAAAACAGTGGCCAAAGAGTTATTATTTTAGGAAATATGCAGCCTTACATTATGTGGGAAGGGATTTGTAGATTAAGATGGCAAATTTAAAATCTCATCAATTCCACACTAAGTGGACACAAATTGAAAACTAGCTTAATAGGTGCGACTTTTACCCCAGTATTTACAAATGAAGAATTTGAGTCACAGGCTCTTTGTGACTTGTATGTGCTGGTGAGAGGCTAATGGGTGCCTGCACAATCATAAAACTTAAGAAAAGTTTTGAGTGTATCACTAGAGTTTCATGTGTTTGAAATTCTGTTGTGATTTTGAAATTTATTGGTTTTCCTTTTTTTTACGGTAGCACAAAACTGTGGTTTAATCAGTAATCACAATTTTAAGTAAACATAAAATTTAACTGATAGTTTCCACAAATAGTTTTGTACGTATACCAAGAACCCTCGACTTTTAAGAAGAACACTATCAAGAAAAGCATCTATCTCTAATAACACTTTGAGTATATTTTTCCTTTCCCTTTGACTATTTGCCCTGTTTCATCTTTTGTTTTACTTGGTTTAACAAGCAAACTAGATAGTTATGAGATGGTATCACTTTCAGTTCCTAACTAACCTCACTGTTCCATGTTGAACATAGCTTGATAGAGCAGAACAAGTTTTGAAATCCAAGAGTTTCTAAAATATCAACATGAGTGTTTTTCCTGAAACATAACGTTTGAGCCTTACATGATTTTACAAGCAGATGTGTCAGAACTGATAATAAATTTAGGAAATCATTATAGGACATTTTAAGGCAAGCAACTTCATCATACAAATAGACTTGGTAAAACTTTGTAAGAAAGTTCATCTGGGATTCTTCAGATTTTGCTAAGTTAGATGAAACTTGATTGAGTCTAAATTTTATTATTTTAAGCATTATGTCAGTCACTATAGTAGTGCTTAATTCGTGTGTCTAAGTATGTACAAAGGAGTTGTGGTATGGAATTATAAAAGCACAGTGGTACAAAAAGTTATTTGTGTGGGTGATTGTAGGGTACAGGGTCTCAAACTCTTCAAAAATTGAGTGCATGTTCTTTTTTCTGGGCCCCATAGCGCTCATCAGCTTCTCAAAGGCAATGATCACCTTTAGAAAGAAGAACTATTGCAATATCAACAAAAGATAGTAAAGGAAATGATAGTTGATGCTAAGTTTGGGATGGGAGGACGTCAGTGATGAAGGGAGAGAGGAAATCACACTGGCCACAAGGGTGATTGACTTGCAATTTATTCTATGGGTAAAAAGTTAACTACACAATGTCTAAACAGTATTAGGTAGGATCAAAGTTTCTACTACATAGAAAAATTAACTTGGTCACTCTAGTGAAGTATAAGGCTTGTGATTCAGTTGTTTGCATTTAGTTCATCATGGTTCTGAAGAACTGGAGATGGAAGGCATGCATTCTATAAACAGGAACTACTTTCATTTATATCCTCCATTTTTTGATGGCTATTAGTGAGACTTTCTTTCAGAGTGGCACTTTTGAACTGTAGAGACTTCTGTTTAGGGTTAATTAACTCAAAATTCAGCAAAATTTGCTTCAGTTTTCTTCATATATACATCTTTATAATGATCCGTTCATTTTGACTTCTTTTTAAGTGCATTAGTGGGGGAGTTTTGGATTTTATGTAACTATCTGGTTAGGCCCAGATAGCAGCATGCCAACAAGCAGCATGACTCTTAGATTAATTAGTAATTTTATGTCAACTATGAAATGTATGTTGTTAAATTGAGTAGGAGAGAGAGCTCTAGAACTGTTGTGAAGGAACTTCAATCTTGAATCTCACATATTTAAAGCAGTCACTTAATCATTGAAAAAAGGCCTCACACACAATGGTAGGTATATAGTGGCTTGATAGTATTTGATATTTTGCATTTTGAATTTGCATTTATGTGTACTTTCTGAAACCTTTGTTTCTTTAGACAGTAAATTCAGATTAGTAACTTCAAATAACACAAGTTGATTTTTTTATCGTTATATAACTTCCTGCATATTTGGTGATTTTTTTCATACTTAGATAAATCATGTTTTGATTTTAAATAATTTCTGAGCACAGTGGTTTCATTTATGCAACAGATTGACTAAAGTACTACAATGCTACATGCTATTCTAAGGATTGGTGATATAAAGATGCTCATAGTCTACTAGACAGGAAAATTGATAAAAAGCAGTGACAGTTATCATAGGAATATACTTTGGAGGGTATTATAAATGTACAGAGAGGCATCTACTCAAATCAGATGCTGAGGGAGGTAAGGAAAGACTTATCATAGTAGACAATATTTTGTTGAGGTTTGCAGAATAGGGCATTGAAGAAGTGGGGAAGGCATTCTAGGTTGAAAGAATATCATGTACAATGGAAGGGAAATACATGAGCATGGCCAATAAAGAAGATACATGTGGCTGAAATAAAAGGTATATAAAATATTAAATCTGCCAGAAAAGTCCAAATCACAGTGAATCTTTGTGTGTCATGTTAGAATTTCAACTTTTTCCTGAAAGAATAAGTGTTGAGAAGGTTAAAACAGTAGACTTGGGGCTGGGGTTATGGCTCAGTGGTAGAGCGCTTGCCTTGCACGTGGGTTTAATCCTCAGTACCACATTAAAAAAATAAAAAAAATAAATAAAGGTATTGTGTCCATCTATACCTAAAAAAAGAAATTAAAATAAAAACAGTATAATTAACTGGTCAGATTTGTTTCAGAAAGAAATTTAGAACTGTGGAAAATTCCTTGGATAGGATTTCCAGAATGGAGGTAGGAGGAGCACAGTGTAGTGGAATGGAGTTCTACATTTAGGGTTGGAGACCTGAATTCTGGTGGCTGCTCACCTTCTCATCCATTTACCAGCTTATCAATTTCCTAGTACTATTTCTCTATATCCTAGTTTCTTCCTGCCACCCATTGTGAACATCCTTACCAAATCTGAAATATCCACTCTGTTTCTCTTCAGTAAATCTCACTCCTTTTCACTGCCCAGTTCATGCCTAAGTGTTTTCCTGTTCTATCAGACCTTCATTAATTACTTCAGTTTACTGAGGGGTCATCTTTCTTCTGAGTCCATAACTATTGTAAGTTTAAATGTTATGCGTTCATCTAGTCTGTACAAAGATTTAAAATTGCTTTTGGGCAACGGTCCTGGTTTATGTTATTCTTTAAAATCTGACAGGTTAGTGCTCAGGTGCAAAATAACTTGGTAAATGATTATTAGCTGGGGAGTTTTTCCTTATAAGCCAGACATTTTGAAAGTATAAATTGTTGAAAAGAGGCTTAAAAAAGTGTACTTTTATACATTTTTTCTTAGCATATATCCTTCATCAAATGAATATATCTCTCTGTACATTCCTCTATGTCATCTCTAATTTTGAAATTCTGGAAACTTATGGCCGAGAGAACTCTCCTACTCCCCTTGTTTGTTTAGATTCTTGTGATGTTGGAGCTTGAACTTTCATGCCCAGAAACAGTACCCAAACCATGAGCCAAGTAACATTTTGCTGTTAGTAGTAGGAGGCTTCAGATTATTGGCAAACGAATATGGGAATGGAGAGCCAAAGGACCTGGGTTCCAGTATCCCTTCTATCTTTTATTTGCTTGTGATCACTGCTGAGCATTTAACAACAGAAGTTTGAGCTCTTTGATTAATGTTAATCAGTCAGAGATAACATCAACATTGCTGGCCTTGTTTTTGTTTTTTGAGAGGGTCCCACTATGTTGCCCAGGTTGGCCTCAGATTCTTGGGCTCCTGTGATTCTCTTCCCTCAGCCTTTTGAGTAGCTGGAACTATAGTCATGCACTATTGTGCCCAGCTCACCTGCCTG